AGTAAAGCCCATCAGAATCATACTACACTTCTCAACACAAACCCTTAAGTAAAAAAAAGAAAAAAGCTCAAAGAGAAGTATTTCAAGTCCCAAAAGAAAACAATCTCCAACCTAGGTTTATGTACACTGAAAAACTATTTTTCAAAAATCAATGGAAAAATGAGATGTTTTGTGACAAAGAACATCATGACCACCAAACCAGCACTTCAACATGTTCTGAACAATATTCCAGAAAGGGATAAGGAAGACTACAATTCTATAAACACCAGTAGGAAGAATCTACCAAGTAAGGTAAGAAATTAAATAGGAGGGAAATAAAGGGAACCAACAACAGGAAGATAATATAACAATGATAAGTCAATACATATCAGTTATAACCATCAATGTAAATGGTCTCAATTCACCAATCAAAAGAAAAAAATGGAAGATTGGATCAAGAAACAAGATCCAAAAATATGCTGCATACAAAAAAACATATTTAATTAAAAAAGAAATGCTTAGACTGAAAGCCAAAGAATGGAAACCATATCTTGTGTAACAGGAACAAAAAAATTAATCAATCAGAAGTACTTATTCTGTTTGCAGACGAAGTGGATTTCAAGCCAAGACAGATGATGAAGGTCAGTATATACTTATTAAGGGAACAATCCAAAATAAAGAGGCAATAATAAAAAATATATATGCACCAAATACCAGTGCACCCAACTATATAAAAACAAAAATCAAATAAGCTCTAACACAATGGTAATGAAAGATCTCAGTACCCCACTGTTATAAATAGACAGATCAAATTGACCAAAAAAAATCAACAAAGTTGTATTACACCTGAACCAAACTTGTGAGCAAATGGACTTAGTAGGTGTCTGCAGAGAGATCCAAATTAAAACAACACTGAGATTCTATCTTATTCCAGAAAGAATGGCTGCTATCAAGAAATCAACCAATAAAAAATACTGGCAGTGATATGGGGGGGAAAATGAACCCTTCTACTGTTCATGGAAGTGTAAAATGGTACAACCACTGTGGAAATCAGTGTGGCGATTCCTCAAAAAACTAGGATTAGAAGTCCCATTTGACCCAGCTAGTCCTCTGCTGGGTATCTTCTCAAAAGAATTAAAAGCATCATACTACGGTGATATATGCATACCCTTATTTATAGCAGTACAATTTGTAATAGCTAAATCTTGGAATCAGCCCAAATGCCCACCAATGGATGAATGGATAAAAAAGATGTGGGTTTTTTTTTAATACAATGGTGTAGTACTATGCTGTAAAGAAGGATGAGCTTTGGATATTTATAGGTAAATGGATGCACCTTAAGACCATACTCTTAAATGAAATAAATCTGGCACACGTTTAAATATTGCATTGTTTCTCTGGTGTGAAAAACTGAAAGTGTATATAAGGAAAATGTATAATAGATATTGGGGAGGGGATGATAATGTTCAAATGGGAAGAGGAACAAGGGAGGTAGGTCGGGGAGAAAAAAGAATAGAAGGAAAAATAGAAACAAACCTTCCATAAATAACAAGGAGAAGAAGGGTTGAAGAGAGGAGAGAAATTTTGAGGAAAAAAAGAAAAATCAATATATATTATGTACAGGTCAAATTTCCCATGATGGATGTGATCACTGTGTATTTCTTAAGCATACCTATAAAATTAACAACCAAAAACCCTTATAACACCTAAAATAAAAGACCCGATTGAGAAATTGGCAAGTGAACTCAGTAGACATTTCACAGAGGCAGAAGTACAAATGACTGAATAGTATATGAAAAAATATTCAACATCTCTGGCCATTACAAAAATGAAAATTAAAACCACACTGAGATTCCATCTTATCCAAGAAAGAATCACAATCACCAAGAACCTAAAAAATAATTGATGTTTATGGTGTGGCTGTAGTGAAAAAAAACCCTCTTTGGTGGGAATGTAAGCAAGTATAACCATTATCGAAATCTGTACTATTTCTCAAAGAACTAAAATTCCCTGATCCAGCTGTCTCTCTTCCCGATATCATCCTTAAAGTGCTAAGACATTATACTATAGTGATACAACATACTAATGTTTGTATCAGCACAATTCATAATATCTGAACCCAGAAGCAGCCTGTATTTCCATCAGTAGATGTTTGGATAAATAAAATGTGATATCTATACATAATGCACTACTTGACCATAAAGGACAAATTTAGACATCTGTAGGAAAATGGATGCACTTGGAAAATACAATGTTAAGTAAAATAAACTATATACAAACAAGCTTAAATACTATATTGTATCTCTCATTTGAGTAAGGCAAAGTACAGAAGAAGAGAATAATGTAAGATGAATAGAATAAGTCAAGGGCATGGATATCTTTCAAGTGGGAAGGGGTCCAAGAGACTCAGGGTAAGTGGTGAGGGGGAATGGAAAGGGAAATAAGCAAAGTAAATATATGCCATGAACAGGAACCTAATCACCTCAATGAATGTAAATATTATATGCCATAACATGAGATGAGCTTAATAATATCAACAAGAAAAATAATGGGAAAAGAGGAATCAGAGGAGGGGAGAGTGAGGGAAAGGGGATTAAAAAATGAACAAATTATATTATGTACCCATACCCACTCCTCAAGATGACTGTAAGCTGCCTGTACTACAAAAATGTGCTAATCAAAAGAATCACAAGATAAGTATGTTTTGTTTTGAGCCACCATGATTGTAGTATTTTGTTACAGAAGCCATTGGAAACTAATACAAAACCCAAATTAACTACTTTTGCTTCAATTCTTGTCTCTGCATGTTTACAGGGGAACTCAAAGAAAGGCCTTTCTTAAGTACAAAGGATGCAGATGTTGCAGCAGCAAATTAATTTTTTCCATTTGTGTTGATGTCATTCCCCATGTCCTTCCTATCACATGAAGCATATACTTGTGTTCTGAGTGGAATTACCATTGAGATAAACTAAATAAGGCTTCACAGAACAAATGAGTTATGATGCTTATATCTGACCAGTAATGAATCCCTTTGCCAGAGTTTCACTATGACTGTGATGGATCAATTGGTACTGAACTAGTCTCTCTGTCATAAATCACTAGAAAATTTGGAAAAATATGTAAGCTATGTTTAGGCATTGTACAACAGGCAACACATTGTAGTGACTCTAGAGATAAAGAAAACTTACAAGGTAGCTCATCTACCACTTCAAAGCTCTCTCTGAAGAAAATGTACAAATGGTACAGTGAGCTGGATTCCAGGAAAAACAGGTTGGTTTTTCTGAGCTCAAAAGGCAGACATAATAGTTTAATAGGTATGAAAAGCCTGGTGTTTACAAAACAGAGCATCAAAGAGGATAGCAAGACTTTCAAAAGTCTGTTTTGAATTTTTTTTTCAGGAGTCTTTGGCTGAGGGTTGGGCTGCACATTCACAGGACAGGACTACTTGAGACTGATCAGAGTATTTACAAGGTGGATAGAGAGCAGAAATATAACCAGTTGATCAGTATTGGGGGAATTTTGAAGCTCTCTCTAGCCAAGCAAGAATGAAGAGACCTTTATACCTTGTTAGCATCCTGGACATCTAACCAAAATTACAGTAAGACCAATAATGGACCTAACCTTAACTATCCTAGAACTCAGCCCTTACAAGATTTACAGAAGAGACAATTTGCAGATCGATTTCCTAAAATTAGACAGGCTTAGGAAAGACCTTGAAATTTCTGTATAATTAAACATGGTATAAAACAAAACTTATTGAATTGCCTAGTAGAATAAAAAGTCAATACTATCCAGGGGAAACTATTAAAATAGTCTTTGCAGTATGACATCTAGATTGTCCAATGTATAGTAAAAGTTATTCGAACAGAAAAATTTTACCTTAGAGTCAAGGACAGAAAAAGAAAGGCAACGGAAACAAACGTAAAGGTATCCAGTTAATTTGCTCAACTTTATAAAGGCTTCAAAGCAATTATATGTGCAAAGATGCAAAGGAAAATATATTCAAAGAATAAAAGAAAAATAAAGTCTTAATTGATGTACAGATACTATGTCAGTAGAGGAATAGAAAGTATAAAATTAATCAAATGGAAGTTTTAGAACATAAAATTACATAATTAAAAACCACCCTAGATGGGCTTATCAGTTTGAAGATGCTTGAAGAGTCAGTGAACTTGAAAAACAGAATAAAACATACATACTTAATTTTAATTAATTTTAACTAATCTAAAGTGCTGTTTTGGCTTCTCTTATATGACTTTTTGGACACAAGAAACTGAAAACTCTCCTGATACTTAAAGCTACACTCATCTTTTTGGTTACCTACTACTTAATTTTGGGAATCCTCCATTGCAGCTAACATAATATCTGACTGTGCTTATATAAATAAATGATTATCTTGGGAAAATAACCTTCCAAAAATTTCACTTTCTTCAAGGCAAGACACAGTATAGTTACTACACATGCTAGGAAAATCTTATTAGCTAATATTCAATGCAATGTTGTGGTTAAATAGGTATTTGTACATGGATTGTGGTACTGGAATGCCTACACTTAGCTTCTTGATCTACCAACTGGCTGATTGTGGGCAGACTACTCAGTTTGTTAATTTGTAATATGAAGACAATAGTATTAGTACATAACTAAGAACGTTTTGGAGTTGGAGGGGGGTGAGGTTTATAAAGAACTTGCAACAGTGCCTGGCACATATATTTAGTTGTTATTATTACATGTATTTTTTTCCTTGAGACCTTTAAGAATAGAGTTTTTCAGAGTTAGAAACAATAAGAAAAGAATGAATCACTTTCAAAATATTGGGGGAAAAGTATGTCATGTCCAAAATCTTCTTAACTGTGCGTTAGAAGATGAAATTGATTACCTTTCCCCTTGTGATCCCAGCTCACCTATGTAGATACTGCCTAAGCGTTACTCAGTGCTACTGGGTGTGTTCCACGTGTAAACAGGAGGCTGGTTTTTCAAGTTCCTGCTCCAGCCCTTCATGAAGGGCAAGTAGTCCAGAATTCTACAGTTTGTGAGTCTGAAAGAAAACAGAGCCTACAAAACTGTTATAACCTTCAGATTGAGACAATCTTCAGGCTGAGGTAAGACTAATGTGTTAAGGGAATCTCCAGTGTGATATCTGCTTTCTTGATTGTTACATTTTGTGTGTTTGTGCAGGAAGGTAGTGAGTCAGGAAGAAAATTACTCCTTCCACCACTTGATATTGAATTTTACAATAAAATGAAAAAGAGAGGCATATATATAAAAAAGGGACATTTTGACCTTTGGGCTGCTATAAATTTGATGGACTCGGATGAGAAATGTGAGAATTGTGTTGTTATTATCACTGAATTTAATCTGAAAAGTGAAACATTGCTGTATCTCACTGAACAATGAATGTATCTAGGTACAAATATGTATCCTAGTGACATACAGAAATAAAGTTCGCAGCAGGAGTACTCTATCATTTTGCCAAAAAGTTCTCACATGTCTATGTATAAGACCAATGCTCTTCCTCTCAATTTCTTTCATTTATTAGAAATCTTGAATTTAGAATTTACCATCTTCTGAATTGTTTTTTGTATTCAGTCCTATTTTTGATGTAGACAAATATCCAATAGGCTCACACGTGTGTGTGTGTGTGTGTGTGTGTGTAAAGTCTGAAAATCCTTCAATAATTTTGACAGGAATGTGATATTTTAATAGCATGAAGAAATGATATATTGATTGAGACTATGAATAGGTACTGGAAAAATACATCAGTGTTTTAAAATTATCACTTCAACACATTTTTATCAGCAATACTCTTTTCCTCATTCAATACTATTTTCCTCATATATATTTAGCAAAACAATATAGCAAAATGCATACCTGGGTAAAACAGGAATTTTATATATACATAAAATACTCAAAATAATGAGTGTAAAATGGCATTTATAGTACATTAAAAAATACAACTTACATACGAACTTCCTAAAAATCTCTAAATACAGGAATTATGTATTTAAATTTTCATTTTATAATAAGTTGTTTATATGGTATTTGGATAACAGCTCAAACACATGACATTACAATTCATACCCTGTATCTCTACTTAAATCTTTAACTAAGACCTTAACACAAACTCACACATGCTTATATGTTTTCATAGGGCAACTAGTATCAGGAAAATGGATAAGAGAAAAGGTGAGAAAATATCTTATTGGTCTCTCGGTTGCTGAATCATGATTTTTCTATGTATTTATAAGTTCCCATAGTTTTCTGGTAGCCTAAATTTGGGGATTATTTGTGTTGTCTTTGAACTTCTTCTGATTTGATAAAGTTTTCTAACAGACTTAATGAATAAAATTATTGGATGTCTACCACTTTTTGTCTTGGAACACATTTAGCTTATTTGTTGAAACTACCTCTGCATAGTTATTTAGTATGTTAAGGGAAAGAAAGACAAATGCAGCTTTAAACGATGTAAAATGAGCAGTTTGTTTAACCTAAGCTTTATTACACAATGGCATATGTTATGGATGTTTTGCCAGCATATGTAAACACTTAGCTAATCATGCTTAATACTTTCTATTTAGGTTCGTAACTATATTTTTGTGCATTCCATATGTTGCATGTGTCTGCTCTCTATTTCTCTTTCTCTCTCTCCACCCACTCCCCATACACATTTGCACATTTTAGATGATGTTACAAGAGTTTTAACTTCTTTTCAGCAGGTTTCATTTCTGGTGAGCTCTCTCTGTGGGTAGATTCATAATTTCTTGTGATCTTTGTTTCTGCACATTTTCTGATTATAATTTCTCCATATCCCCCATCAATCTTTGTCCATAGATATCTGATTCTACTGAAGATGACAATAAAACAAATGGCTCCCAATTTGCCTATACCACTTGCTGATCTGAAAACTGTAGTGGCTACTCTAAATTCTGAAAGATCATCTGGAAGGGGGGCAGAGCTCATAGAGAAACAAAATGTGATAAAATATATGTGTGCTAGAAAGGCAAGTTCACTAGATCAGGTTTCTCTCGCCTTTCAGCAAATCATTTCTGTAAGATATGGTTAAATAAATATGCCCCTATGGCTTCATTTTATTTTTTACAAATTAACTTTTTTGTGACCAGGAGAAGTGGCACATGCCTGTAATCCTAGCCCTCTGGGAGATGGATGCAGGAAAATTCCAAGTTTGAGCACAGCCTGAGCAATTTAGCAGCTTCCCAAGACCTTTTCTTAAAATAAAAAAAAAAATTTTAAAGGGCTGGAATGTAGCTCAGTATGAAGACCCTGAGTTCAATTCCCAGTACTGTAAAACAAAAAAGCTTTAAAACCTGATGTCGTAAAATCTATCTTGATCACATTACTGACACTATCCTACTCACATATATTTCAAGTCACCTATATATAATGCTGTTAAGAAATTCATTATATATGTATGTATTCATTCATTCAGTAAATGTTTAGTGACTGGTACTGGTCATATACTGCTAGGCATTGTAGGTTTTTTGTTTCGTTTTGTTTTTGTTTTTTTGGTACTGGGGATTAAACTTGGGTCCTTGTGCTTGCAAGGCAGATGGCAGAACCACTGAGCTAAATCCCCAGCCCACTGGAGGTTTTTTTTTTAATCTAAATAATTTTTAAAAATTTTTATTTTATGAAAAAAACAAAATTTTCACAACAAAATAATAAGAGAATTAACAATAGTTAATACAATATGTATCATTACCTTTGTTTTTTTTGCTGCTTTTTTGTTTTTTGTTTTTTTGGTACCAGGGATCGAACTCGGGTCCTTGCGCTTGCCAGGCCGGTGATAAAACCACTGAGCTAAATCCCCAGCCCCCTATGTATTATTATCTTCAAAGTAAAAGACATAGACCAAAGAGTTCTTACAAAGAAGAGACAAACAAATAACACAAATTTTTCTGTTTAACAAAGATAAACTACTAGTAAAAATTAAACAAAATAGCATATTTTAAAATATTTTTAAGCAATTTAATAGGTAAGGACTAGCATCAAGAATATATAAAGAATACAAAAATATTAGTCCCCCCAAAATAAATGACCCAATCAAAAATTGGCCCACTGAAATGAATAGACACTTCTCAGAACAAGTACAAATAGCCAATAAATATAACAACAAATTCTAGCAAGGATGTGAAGAAAAGGTACTCTTCCACATTGTTGGTGGGAATGTAAAATAGTATAATCACTATGGAAATCAGTGTTGAGAATTTTCAGAAAAATAAAAATAGAGATTTCATTTGACCCAAATATCCCCCTTCTAGGTATGTTCCCCAAAGAGTTAACAGCATCATATTACAGGGATATATGCATACTCATGTTTATATCAGCTTGATTTATAATAGCAAGATATTGGTAATAGCAATGGCAGTGTACATGCCCATCAACCAATGAATGGATAGGAAAATGTGGTATTTATACACAATGGAGTACAATGCTGCCATAAAGAAAGATAAACATGAGGCATTTGTAGGTAAATGGATACAACTTGAGAACATGTTACCTGAAATAAGTCAGACCCAAACTTAAAAATCACATGGTTTCTTTTGTATGAAAAGAGGGAGAGAGAGAGAGAGAGAGAGAGAGAGAGAGAGAGAGAGAGAGAGAG